GGTGGGTAGAGTGCGATAGATACTGTGAATATCTACTAGCAGTATGGACTAACGCAGTTCAACGTCCCTGCACTCATTCTGTTGTGGCAAACACTGTAGGCATCGTCGCAAACGGCGGATTGTCGAGTGATATTAAACATACGCCGCATCTACTCTTTTGTCCCCTACTTATCTGGGTGCCCTGTCATAAAGGAGTCAAAAAGACCAGAGGCGGGATCGAGGGCATTCGTTAGCACAGCCAAACAGCTGAATTACGCGCGCTACATACACCTGGTCTGCGCACAATAGACTGCAATTTCACACAAACAACAAAGGATCGACTCGGATACCAATCGGATGAGAATGCCATAGAGGCCACACCAAGAAGTTGCCATTGCAGACTGACTTTCCATCCTGAAAAGAGGATAGAGTTGGCAGCCTTCCAAGCCATGGCTTTCAGTGCATCGGGATATAACAAAGCTCGTTAACTTGTTTTCAATGAGGAAAATGTGCTGAGTCAACCGTCTTCTCTCAAGAAGGACGACGGAAGGAAAGCAAGCAAAAGCACTATTGCACCTTTCTAGACTTCTCCCGCTTAATTTGGTGACTCCTGTTGTAGTAATTCCGGGTGCATCATAACTGTGTGGCCGTAACTGCAAATGCGTTGTACATGTGCGAACAGTCAAAGGTTCCCAGATCAACTCTGTTCATGTGTTGGACTTTTACGGGGAAGGCAGAAAAATGCAACGGCCCGAGGGCAACCAGAGCACATCCTCGTCGGCTATAACCAGACGAGAATGGGAAAAAGAGACTGCACAACAAAGCATGCTGTCTGGATGTCAAGAAAATGATCGGGTCACTTCAAGGAAGAATGCTGTTTGATCTGCGACAGTTTTGTTAACTTTAAGAGGACATGAAGCCTAGGGTAAAGTGAGTAATGTCACTTTTAAAAAAACTGGAAAAATAATTTCGAATGTGGGAAAGACTAACACAGGACTGGAGGACTTTTGGATAAAAAAACCAAAAAATCATGTTTTCGGATGCGCAAAATAGCAAACAGGTTAAAAGTACATAACCCCTTGAAAATTAAAATTATTATTTGAAACTTCAGCAATTTGTTAAATACATGTCAAGGTTGTGTGGAAACGTATAAGCTCGTTCTTTTTTTCACCTTGATGCTGCGGTTTTA